GAGGCTGACCGGTCTGTAGTTACCCGGGTCAGTTGAAAGACATGTCTCAGTTTTCCTCTTCTTTAATCTCCCTTGCCCAATAGTCATGTGTTGGTAAGTCTTCCCAAAGTACAATGTAGACATTGAGTTTGTTGTCCAAATGAAAGAGACTCCAGAGAGACTGTAATGTTGCATTTCAGAGTTTGTTAAAATTGTCCTACCTAATAAAGAGAAATTTCTATCCTATTACATAGCTGTTTACCTGAAATGTATGTGTCGACCACAGTTGTTTCAAGAGGTATGTGTGAAGTCTGTGCCATTGAAATCCACATGGTCTCTTTCCTGACACGTAGTCTGGATCTCCCATGTTACTGGGGAATGCCAATAGACGGGAACCCTCTTGTCGCTCTGCTGTCCTAAACCAATACAGAATATTTACAGATTCCTCTGACAACATGGAGTATCGGTTGTTTGCCTTCACCATTTATGGTTCCTTAGAAAAGCCTTTGAAAGGTGCCGTTTGATGGAACAGGGAACATATTTGATTTTTCAGACCCAACTCTTTGAAGAGAACTATTTGAAAACAGGATCACCACAGCAGTTAATATTAATTGGCAGCCCTCCTGACAGATTCAGTAGAAAGGACACAAATTAATGAACTTGAGAATTGAAACATCAGTCATAGCTCAAGGCAGTCTGTTTGCATCAGTCTGGAGATGCGTTGCTGTGGCAACCTGGAAATGCCTGCATGATCACTGTGTGTGTTGTCTCTCCTATCTGTGTGGGACTTGGTCTCCTCTGGCTCTGTCAATGTGTCACTTTTCATACATATTGAAACATAACTAAGTAACTATGTTTCACCTGATCGCTGCAGTAATCTTTACATTTTTCTCTTTTTCTTTTGTAGATTCTGAGGTTTATTTCAGATTTTCTTGCTTTTCTGGTACTTTACAATTTTATCATACCTATTTCGCTTTATGTGACTGTTGAGATGCAGAAATTTCTTGGATCTTTTTTTATTGGCTGGGATCTTGACCTCTATCATGAAGAAACAAACCAGAGAGCACAAGTAAATACTTCAGATCTCAATGAGGAATTGGGACAGGTAGAGTAAAAAATACACTGTATCTTCTTTCTTTTTTTTAACCTTCTGTTTTCTACTTCAGCGTTAACACTCAAATTCATTACTGCAGACTTTTTATTGGCTGTGCTCTGATTTCTGATTGACTTGAAGATAAGGTATAAACATCTGATGGCAGACATTAAAATTTTTACATTATAGAAAAAATACGTGTAGTGGAGAGTATGAGTTGAGATTATTTTATTTTTTTTATCTTCTAACAATTACATGTAACTCCAAGTCTGTTTTTTGTTTTATTTTACAAAAGGTAGAGTATGTATTTACAGACAAAACCGGTACATTAACTGAAAACGAGATGCAGTTTCGGGAGTGCTCCATTAATGGCATAAAGTACCAAGAGGTCAATGGTAAACTGACCCCAGAGGGGTTTTCTGAAGATTCTCCAGATGGAAATAGGCACAGTTTGGTAAGATGTCTTTTTTTTTTTTTTACCCCTGTTAAGCATCTCAAATAAGTTGTTTTATTTCAGAGAAATATTCTTCTAGCATTAGCATTTTTTAAAAAATCAGAATTTTTTAATAGTTTGAAGCTATTAAGTGTTACTGAACAAATAATATTTATTAAACGTGTTGAGATTTAACTTGAAATACTGGGCAGATTTTTAAGTAAAAACATATTTATTGTATTAAATACGTTTTACATTGATATCCAAATGTTACAAATAAAGTTTTTTTCTTTCTTATAGATGAAAGAGGAAGAACTCTTCTTGAAAGCAGTTTGTCTTTGTCATACAGTGCAGATCAATGCAGATCAAACAGATGGTGCTGATGGTCCCTGGCATGGCAATGGGTTAGCACCCCCATTGGAGTATTATGCTTCTTCACCAGATGAGAAAGCTTTAGTTGAAGCTGCAAGCCGGTGAGTTGTACTACCAAAACTATTTAATGTAGAAATGACCTATTAGGGCAGACAGTTCATGGTCAAAGCAACCTTAAAAATTGCACGGAGAGATTGTAAAGCCTAGGACCTGGCATTGTCACTTTATTATGAAAACATACAAAGATAAAATAGACAAGAACCTAGGCATATTATAAAGTGATGATTTAAAATATTTATGGAAATCCTTGGGAAATTATAGTGAACAGAGTATATTGCCATTAAAATATTGTAGAAGGTGGGCATTCTTCAATTTCTCTAGAAACAGAGAGCAGTAATGAGGTATGAAGTCCCTCCCTGCTCTCCACACTCTCTTCTGTTCTTCCCTCCACCCCCAGTAATAGGCATTATGTCTGAATTGATGATTAAATGTGTATTTTCTTTTCTTTTTAGGGTTGGAGTAGTATTTACTGGAACTAGTGGGGACAGCATGGAAGTAAAAAGTCTTGGAAAGCCAGAAAGGTGTTCATTTTTATTCCTTGTTTCTTTTGAAGGACAGAACAGTAGTGAAGATTAAGAGGAGAACTTTATATTAATCTTCTCTGTTCATAACAAAACCTTCCCTTTTCACAGCGTGCTCTTTTTAGTGCATTTCCCTTGATGTCTTCAAGACAGCTTGCATCTTATTCCTTACCAATTGAAACTGAGATGCAAGAATTTTGTGTGACTTACTCTGTGTAGGTGTGCATCATAACAGTTTGTATCTTTGCCCAGTCCTCAAGAGTTGAGTCTGTAGTAGAGCTGGAAAACTGGATAGTTTATTCAAGTCTTACAGTTTCTGCATTCAGCTGTAGAAGTTCCCAGAATCGTGTGTTCATAATCTAATTACATGTTTTAAACTTTCCCCAAATGTGTAGAAATATTACTGATAATTGTGTGTCTGTGGTATGTCATAACACCTTTTGTCCATTCAGTCTGTGTCAGTTAGTTGACAGTACTTTAAACTTAAATGTCTGAAATTAATTTCCTAAACTAGTGGTAAGGTAACATAAAAAACAGTCCATTTATCAGGGAACATGCACTCTTTTTTGACTGCGTGCGCTATTTACAACTGTTAGAAATAAAATGCAGTTTTCAAAGTTACACTTCAAGTAAGGATAAGAAGGATAAAGGAATAGGTAGGAGCTGATTTTAATTTCCAGATGTAAAGCTGGTGTTCAGGAAACTACTTCTATTGATAGAAGAATCTTTTATTCTACAGAACAGAATTAAATGTGTATGAAGTGATGAAGAGCAGACAGTTGCACAAACACAGAAGACAGTGATTGTTACTCAGCAGTCGTAGCATTACTTCTAGAGTTTCTATGTAAAAATGACATTTTGGGGAAAGCTCTGTGGGGTGAGTATTTATAAGTGTTGTTGGAAGTTTATTTCTAAAAATGTTTTTTTCCCCTTCCCTTTTCTGTTGAAACACAAAATACAGGTATAAATTGCTTCATGTTTTGGAGTTTGATCCAAATCGCAGAAGAATGAGTGTCATCGTAGAGAGTCCCTCAGGTAAGCGATCAGAAGTTGCACAAGCTCTGGTTGAGAACTTAAATAGTTTGTATCCTTAATTTTTGTTCTGTTGTACTACTTAGGGGAAAAGCTTTTGTTCACAAAGGGCGCAGAATCTGCCATTCTTCCTCGTAGTAAGAGTGGAGAAATCGACAAAACAAGGATACATGTGGATGAGTTTGCTTTGGTAAGTATGTATGTTTGCCCAGCTGATTGGAAGAAAAGACTTCTACAAAATCTATGACTTGAACTGAACAAATTGCAGGTGATGCCTTCTTGTTAGATCAAAGTCTTGTCTACTCTGAGTGTAGTCTTTTTATTTTCTCACAGAAAGGACTAAGAACTTTGTGTGTAGCCTACAGAAGATTCACACCTGAGGAGTATCGAGAAATTGGCAAACGCCTTCACGAGGCCAGGACTGCCTTACAACAACGGGAAGAAAGATTAGCAGATGTATTCAACTTCATAGAAAGGGACCTGGAATTACTTGGGGCTACGGGAGTAGAAGACAAGTACGCGATGGGGTTTCTGCTAACTACAGTCAAAAACATAGCAAGTTTAGATTTTATAACTAAAATATGTGTGCCATGAAAAAATCTCCCACCACCACCAAAAGGTCTGTGTTTTTGTTTAGTATGTTTACCACTCTTTGAATTGAGGAGCATTCAAAACACGTGTTTCACCGACTGATTTTGACTTACTAATGAAGACATACAGTGTGCTTCATCAGGAGAGATCTAATGCACATGAAACAGAATGATTGCAGTAAATATTTAGGGTAATGGCTAATTCCTTGAGTAAACTTCTATACATAGCTACCTTACAAAGCATTCTGCTTGTGTAGTGTCTGTTCTGTCAGAGAGTGTATTGTACACTGGACTGTAGAGATGAAGCACTTGGAAGCTTTTCAAGCACTGGAGTAGGTAGTCATTGTTGTGATCTGTCTTAATGCTCCTCAAATGCAGCAGTGGTGCCTGATTTAAATTAAGATACGCTTATGACAAATTTTTCACCACTTAGTGCAATTCAGTTCAGTTTTTGTTTCATCAAGGCCTTAATTTTATTGCTGGTAACAGAATGTCATCTGCCAAACTATGATTCTCTGAAAAATAGATGTCACATTGGAAATGCAGTCTTAAATTGCCATGATAGTGGGGTTACAGTAGTAACAGTATGGAGTTACAGTGTGAGCTCTTTTTTTGTAAAGAGCTTGATTGGTTATTTAAGATTTTTCCTTGTTTCTAGACTGCAGGAGAAAGTCCAAGAAACTATAGAAGCACTCAGGTTGGCTGGTATCAAAGTGTGGGTGCTCACTGGAGATAAGCACGAAACGGCTGTTAGCGTCAGTTTATCGTGTGGACACTTCCACAGAACCATGAACATCCTGGAGCTTGTGCAGCACAAGTCGGACAGTACATGCGCAGAGCAACTGAGGCAGCTAGCCAAGAGGTAAAGTACCTGGGATGGCATTATCTCGGTGGTGATCTTAGCTTGGTTTTCTTTTACTTTCAAATTTTACGACAATCCCTTTGATGTATGTGCCAAACACATGAAGTTGCCTTTTAAAAAAATTATTTAATAACAGACTTGAAGAAGCAGTCTGTCCAACAGGCTGACTGCTTTGTGTATTGTGTGGGGAACGACGTCGTTCATAGCAAAATTTTAATTTTTTTCTATCACACCACTACAAACCATTTTTTTCCCCAAATAGAATAAAAGAAGACCATGTTATCCAGCATGGACTGGTTGTGGATGGGACCAGCCTCTCTCTTGCACTCAGGGAACATGAAAAACTGTTCATGGAAGTTTGCAAAAACTGCTCTGCAGTGTTGTGCTGTCGCATGGCACCCCTTCAGAAAGCAAAGGTAAGTGAGAATGTAATCAGGATCGTCTTGTAGGTATTTTTATCATGCTTTGAGTAGGCAAGGATTTCTGGAACTGTTTTGTCTGTTTACCTGACCTTTTGTGTGACTTTTGAATCTCTGTTAAATTCAGTTGATCTGGAGTAGTTTGCTCAGAAACTACATGTGTTTGTGCAAGTGGATGGAGAGTCCAAGTACTGCCACCATGCAAGAGAAAGGCTAATCTTTAATCAGCCTCCTGAGTATTCTGTAAAGCAGCAGCTATCCTGATCACCTGCGTGATTTTGCATTGCCTGTTCCATTGCTTCTCCAAACCAAAAAAGTTAAATTGAAAATTCATGAAGCTGTAGGGAA